CGCCCCCACAGTCTGGGTCCTCATTTCACCCACCTCGGAAGGATGGAAGGCTGAGTCAACCTTGAGCCGGTGAGATTAGAACCGCTGAACTGCATGCAGATAACAGTCAGCTGAAGTGGCCTGCAGTACTGCACCCTAACCACTGCGCCACCTCGGCTCATGTCGCCAAGTGAAAGGTGGTTGAGGACTTGCCTATTTTGGAATGCCACCTGCAGTAGTTGCCACTGGAGACAATTTTATTTGTCTAATGATGGGGCTGACTCTGTGTGTGGCCCACCGTTTAACCAGCTCTGAAGCTGCTCACTGATCTCAAGGACCTACTTGTCCGATCCTTCCACTTGGGCCATCTTCTTACCTGAAGGCTGCAGACTTGCCGCTCCCTGAGAAATCCCGCAGGTAGCAAAGTCATACCTAGAATAGGCAGGGCAGAGGAGGCGGTGAGTCTCGGAGACAGAACAAGTCCTGGCCTGTGGATTGCAGGTTTGGGAAAGGAATGAACTTCAAGGAGGAGGCAAAGCAGGGGTGGAGGAATGCAATTGTGAGTCTGGCCATTTCTAAAGAAACGTGGAAAGGTAAAGAGAAAAGGGCTCAGCCCAGCAGGAGAAGACAAATCGGACTGCTGCATTGCAGAGATTCTTCAAAGAGCTGCTTGGAGAAACCACTCTGTAAGGAAGGTAGGATCACCACGTGGTTGGACCCCCTTTTTACAACCTTTTGTTGCATCCAAACGAATCCATTGTTTGCTATGGACCAGTTTTTGCTGGAAACCAGAAGCAGCAGCAGCTGGTTTCTGACAAAAACATCATGAATTGAAGTCGTGTGAGCATGGGGCGGTGCTTCTTGTACACAGTGGGGGCAGTCTCTTTGTGAGGAATTCATAACTTCAAATAGATGCTGTGCAGCTGGTTATACATTTGAGGACTCCTATTTGGCCGAGAGAGAGCTTAGACCTCTCCAACACTGCACAAGTCCTCTCAAAGCTCCTGGAACAGCACTGATAGCTCACCACCATACACCGTACTTAAGATATCATTCTCAAGACATCCAACTTGACCACCTTTTCCTGAAAGAGAGGAAACCATAACACTTGCCTGCTGCCTCCTCTGTTTCTTTTTCCCTCCTGAGTCCCGCTGGCGTCTCTGCTCCTCCCACAGAACGAGCTGTTGTCTTGTTCCATTCCGTTTCACAGCTCCAAAGAGCATGTCCCTGTTTGGCTACTTTCAAGGCACCAAATCATATGATCCACCTCAGCCACCAATGAATCAGGAAATTAGCCAGGCTAAAGAGGTTCGTAAAGAACCAGGTGCCGAGTCAAATACAGGTACTCCTCAAGTTACAACCACAGTTGAGCCCCAAGTTTATGTAGCTAAGTGAAACATTTGTTGCGTGAGATCGCCCCATTTTACGACTTGCCACAGTTGTGAAGAAGTGAATCAGTCAATTGCCAAGCCTGTGAATTTTGATTATGTGACAGGGAGACGGGGGACTGCAACAGTCGTAAGTGTGAATGATGGTCGTTAAGTGACTTTTTCAGTGCTGTTGTAACTTTGAACGGTCACTAAATGAACTGTTGTTAAGTCGAGGACTCCCTGTAGTCAATCCATTTTGTTCACAGTAGTATCAGCTGTATTCATTGGCAAGAGCTTCTTAAAGGATCTTCTAAATTAAAAGTGCGATCTCCACTTCTGCAAGATGTATCTCCTACTGATATCATGATTTGATAAGTGGGCTGGGACTGAATATTCCAGTGTCAAAATACCCCTTTGCCAGTGCAAGGCCAGAAATGTTATTTTCATGTACGGGGATTTTGTGCATGAAGAAGCACCTCATATCTTTGCTGAGGAGAGAGGGATTTCTGACTTCTGCTACCAGCTCTGTTCCATTGTGGGAAGTTATCATCCAGCCCTCTCCCAGAAAAATGAAATATCCTAGGAAATATTTAAAAGGCAGAATATTTCTCTGGATGTGAAAAGAAAGAAA